ACAGGTTTGAGGAACTGGTTTAAGATCTAAAATTCGTTAAGATTAATCTTACGAATTTTAGTTCAAGTCTGTGAAGCAGTAAGAATTGAGTCAGTTTTCATTTGAGACTCCATGTTTTTATAAAAATTTTAGTTATTAAATTTAAAATGATTATTTAGAATTTTATATATTATTTTTAAATTATATTTTGATTTATATATATGTATATATATTTTTGAAAAATTTGCATATGAATGTGAACTGCATGTCAATGACTCTGTGTAATTGTGTATATAAATTAATATGGATGCAAATATATAGTGTGTGATGCACATATATGCGTAGTTGGATGTGAATTTTCTTTCTTAAAAAATAAAATCTCAAGAATATTTGAATTTTTGAAGTTGGGATATAAAATAGAAATAATATTTAAAGAGAAAACAACTTACCAGTTATCATGGAAAAGAGTGTACGAACTTAATACATAGGATGAACCGTACCATAGATGCGTTCTCAATCGTACAAGTTTGGGAAGTCTCATACCAGACAGGGTTAGGAGTTGGTTTAATTATGTTCATACCGGACAGAGTTTAAGACGGTTTATAATTACGACGCCTATTACTGGACGAGATATGGAGACAACCGATGAATTGTAAAAGAAATATTTTGTATATCCATGTATAGTGGAGATCCCTATGGACCTCTAATGATACCGGTAATAAAAATGACAATATGTAACGGAAATGAAAATGGTAAGTAATCATGATTTCGGTGAAATGGTAAGAAATCCAAAGTTTCACATTTATTATGTATGTTGATTGTATTTCTCCCTATAATTCTAACAATATCTTATGATGTGTATAAATGACTGTGTGAATTGATAGTATTATTTTTTTTAAAAATAAAAACTATTTAAATACGTACCTGACATGATTGACTGAGTAGCTCATATCAGGAGTACGTTCAAAGTCGAAAGAAAATTTTGGATGAACTTTTAGAGACATTGAGAATATTGCTTTATAAAATAGATTTAATTACATTATAACAATATAATGTAAAGATTTTTTGTGAGTCTTATGATTTATAATTTCGTTTAGGGGATATAACATTGAATTTTAAATTTTAAAACAATGTTGCACAAATTTATCAGGTTATATGCATCGTTTAGCGCTCATTTCTCTTTAAAAAAAATGGATTGTTATAATAAATCCTAAAGAACTGCTCAATGACAAGATTCTGATCGCAAGAACATAACACAGTAGTTGCTCCTTTTTTAATATATATATATATATATATATTAACGATAAAGAAGCTTTCATAACCACAACAAAAAGAGTGTGAATGATACAAAAACTTGTGTGTGTGTATATATATATATCTACACATTTATACCTGGGCTAAAGCAATAGGTCCTCAAGAGCTTCTCTTTTTTAAGCATATCAACTATCAAAGTCGTAAAGTTCTGCATCTCATTCTGAGAAAATTTATAAAAAGGAAATAATAATAGATTAATAAATATGAAACCTATACGAAAATTAAACATGATTAAAAATTTACCATATACACATTGTTTGCAGTTTGAAGCTCGATTCGAGGCATGTTATGCAACCAAACAGGAAATCCTCTGTTATAGCAAAAAGCAATTAACCTATACTACGCAATAATTCAAAAAATAAATAAATCAAAGTAGTAGTAAGTTAAAAGTAGATACTCATAGTTCCATTCAGCACAAACATAAGGACCAATTCGGACAACTGAATAAAGTCTTTCTTGGTGAATGGTTTTGATAAATCTCAATAGATCAAGATTGTCATTGAAGTCATATTGACTACGTTGGGGCTCATGAACATTCCAAAACACATATGTCTCAATAGCATCTAATCCACCTTCTTTTGCTTTTTTAATTAAATCTGGCCACATCTATAGTACAAATATCACTAGGTTAGTCTATAAACACTACATCAGTAAAACAAATAAAAAACGTTACTCACCTGTGAAGTGCTATGTGGATAATGAATTGATCCAGATAACAAGATCTTTCCTTGGCCATCAATTGTGATGACCTTTCCATCATGAGCAACTTGAATGCCATTAACACAGACAACTAGGGAAAGAAAAAGCAAACACAAATTTCTAAGACGCAACATATTTGATGTTTACAATGAAAACTATTATGATTCTGCTCATGGTTCTAGTAATCCAAACCCTTCCCATTTATAGGCAAGTTTAAGAACAAAATTGAAAACAAAATAAATTCAACCTTTTAAGTAGTTGTATCCATATTAAAAAAGTAGTTGTATCTAACTCAATCTTAGTAAGTATGACATATCATAACTGATTCTAACTTTATCCTATTTCTTTCCAAAAGTATAATCCTACGTGGATATATTCAACAACATATAGACACATATAGAGAGAGTTCTAATCATACTCATTATCCCAATCAAAATTATTACAAGACGAAGTAAAAATGGTAAAGCACGCATTGTGGACGAAAATCAAACAATTAAGAGAGAATATCGGCAATTTGCTTACCGCAAACTAAAGGAGGCCAGAGTTGATTGAGGCGATAAGAGAGCAGAAGAGGTGCGTATTCGCTGAAACGACGTCGATTAGGAGCAGATTGTTGGATTTCAGATTCAACATCAAGGGTTTCCATTAGAGCGCTCACAGCTCAGCCAGGTTCTGGTCGTGAGTGAATGACATTAGATGTGAGGATTTTGTGGAAGCTGCTGCTGCTGCTGCTGCTGAGCATCTTCTTGCATCACCGGCAACCCCATCAGTCTTCATTTGATAGTATCCAACCAGTAATCGACTTTGTACTACAGGTTTTGCAGGTTCTAACACTTGTGCGACTGCTTCTCGCATTGTTGGCATCACAATGGATAGCTACGGCGAATCCTCCTGTGCTTGGTCCACCTAGGTTACAGAGATAAATCCTCTTCGACTGGAAGCTACAGGTATTCTTTTTGCTCTTCAAAAGAGGCTACGCACATTTCCTCTTCTCAACGCCTCTTGTCGATGGGCAATTTTTGAAAGATGCAGAGTTACAACTTACATGGGCGCTAACCCATTTGGATCGCATGGTCAATCAACCACTACTCAAGTGGGCTTTTGGTTATCATCATACGGGCTCCAGATTGCACTTGTTTCATACTTGTACATAACTTCTATACATTAACAACAATAAATATTACATATATTATTTTCAAATAATTTTCTTAATATAAAAATAAATTCAAAATAATGCTCAATTTTCTAAATATTTTCTAATCACAAAATTCATTAGAAAATAATTTTTTTAAAAAAAAAAGATAAAAATTTTATATTTTTAACGTATTATTAATAATAAAAAACCTATTTTGCTAATTAAAAAAATAAAATATAAAGGACTAACACATGTTGCAGAGAATCTATCTATTTACATATAATTTAATTTCTTCTTAATTTTGAGCATATCTTTTTAGGGACTTAAGTATAGATAACTTTCATTA